AGGGTTTAGGGTTTAGGGTTTAGGGTTTAGGGTTTAGGGTTCAGGGTTTATAGTTTATAGGGTTTAGGGTTTAGGGTTTAGGGCTTATGTGGTTTAGGGTTGAGGGGTTGGGCTTCGGGTTTCTTGGAGGGGCGCTGTGAAGATTTTCGGGTTGATAGCTCCTTGGTTGCGGGCTTTGGTCGCGGGTTCGGGTTCATTCCGGTTGTTGTGTGGCTGTGGATTCGGATCCACGGCAGGGTTTAGGGTTTAGGGTTTAGGGTTTATTTAGGGTTCAGGTTTTATGGTTTAGGGTTCAGGGCGGCAGCAGATCTTTTGCAGGCGCGCATCCTTCTGATTTCTTGCGCTTCAAATCGAAACTCCAAGCCGTAGACTCTGAACCCCCAGCCAGAACTATCGGCCGATTCCCTAAACCCGAAACCCTAAACCCTAAACCCTAAACCCCAAACCCTAAACCCTAAACCCTAAACCCTAAACCCTAAATCCTAAATCCTAAACCCTAAACCCTAACCCCTAAACCCTAAACCCGAAACCCTAAACCCCAACTCTGAGCAGGCTCAGGGCCTTCCCACGGAGCCGGCAGAAGGGTGTGGCGAGGCGTCTGCACGTCGGCGTCTTCTACGTCGGAAAGTGGCTTGGGAAGAAGGGCTTCAGGGGCTTCAGGGGCTTTAGGGTTTAGGGTTTAGGGTTCAGGGTTTCGGGTTTAGAGTTTAGGGTTTAGGGTGCATTGCTGATGACTCGGTGGTCGAAAGTCAGGCACAGGCAGCTCCTTCAGACCACACACTCTCGTTGGGTTGGGTTGAGCAAGCCGACATGCCCAGAACAGCTGCTCCTGTGCGCAACCCTAAACCCTAAACCCTAAACCCGAAACCTTAAACCGCAGTCCCCAAAACCCCAAAACCCCAAAACCCCAAAACCCCAACTAACCCCAAACCCCAAAACCCCCAAAAAACTACACCCCTAAAACCCCATAAACCCCCTAAAACCCCTAAACCCCCAAACCCCCAACCCCCTAAACCCCTAAACCCCTAAACCCCTAAACCCCTAAACCCCTAAACCCCTAAACCCCTAAACCCCTAAACCCCTAAACCCCTAAACCCCTAAACCCCTAAACCCCTAAACCCCTAAACCCCTAAACCCCTAAACCCTAAACCCTAAACCCTATGCGCAACATACGCAGGTATGGCCCCTGCAATGTATGTCCCAACAATGCAGACACCTTTCAAGACAGCGCATTCTCCTCTGCAATCCTATCGCTATCGTTAGTTCTTAGTATCGGAACCTTGGGATGTGCCCCCTTTGTCTAACAGTCCTTAGGGTTTAGGGTTTAGGGTTCAGTACCCCCTATTCTAATCCCTACTAGGGACTGTTAGTATACCGGGGGAACATCCCACTAGGAACCCCTCAAGAAGGGCCTCTCTAATATTTAGGAAAGCCGCATCTTCTCTGTGATGCAGAACGCTTTCGTGCGCTCGTGGGCAATTACTCTACCAGAGTGCAGGCCAAACGCCCAAACCCCAGAACCCAAGAACCCTAGGCCCAAACACCCTAAAACCCTACAAGGCCTAAAGCCCTAAACCTCTAAACCCAAACCTCTAAACCCCAAACCCTAACCCCTAAGCCCCTAAACTCTGCTTACATGCCCTCTAGGGTCCCTGGTGTAAGGACGTGCTGCCAAGCTCTGCTTGGCGAGCGCAAGACCACCCCGAAAGAAGTCGTCGATCGGAAGCACAGAGCGTGAGTCGAGGGTTTAGGGTTTAGGGTTTAGGGTGTAGGGTTTAGGGTTTAGGTCTCTAGGTCTCTAGGTCTAGAGGGTTTCTGGGGTTTAGGGTCTATAGGGCTTCAAAAAGGTTTGCATAGGGGCTTTACTTGGCAATTAGGGAACCATGTTTGACACAAGATGAGCATGTGATTTACTTAGTGGGGGGCATTTCCATTTTCCAACCGTGCACCACCCCCTAGCAACGCTCAAGACCATGACAACCCATACCCCAAAACCTCCTACCCACCGAAAAGCCCAACCCCAGACCCACATGATGAAAACTGGTTTAGGGTTTAGGGTTTAGGGTTTAGGGTTTAGGGTTACTATGGAACCATGCCTACCCATGCAAATGCACATGCTCAACCCCATAGCATGCCCCACCCGATAGCGAACCCATAACAGTAAAGTAGTCGCATCGCCTGCGATGTCTACACAAGCATGTGACACGTTTTTTTTTGGGTGGGGCATGGTACACAGTTTAGGCATGACATTTTCTACGGGGGTAGGCATGGTTCCATAGTATGGTTTTCATCATTTTGGTCTTGCGTCGGGGTCGTTTGGTGAGTGGAAGGTTGATGCAGTGGCTTGTTTGGTGTCGGTGCTAGGGGGTGGTGCATGCTTAGAAAGTGGAAATGGTGTCCACGAACCGATTCAAAGGCTGTTAATGCTCGAGGGCCCCAACTTCAATTCGTCCTTGCTTGAAGGATACATTGTATTACGTACAAAAGTACGGTCGGCCCCATGGCTCCCGCCCTTCTTGCACTGCTTGCAGTCGCGGAGCTTGGCGCGCTTGCCACCGGCTCTTCACCTCCGGAAGCCTAGGAGTAGAGGAGTTAACCTTTAACCTTTTTGGGGTAGTAGAATGGGTAGTATAATGCACCCCTTAGTAGTTAACCTTTTAACCTTTTTGGGGTTTAGTAGAATCCCCTTATAGTCCCAAAGGTGAACCTTTAGTTCCGCCAGGTTACTGGACAATTGAGGAAAACAATTCATTCAGGTGCCTTGATGGTTGCGTCATCTGGAATCTCGCCGTGAACGACAACCAGTGCCACTGTGCAGGCTGCGAGGATCCTTGGGGCGGCATGAGCCCTAGTCAAAATACCCCGAAACCCTGTGGTAAACCGATGTAAAACCCTTAAAAGCCCCCCCTAAACCGTAAACCCTAAACCCTAAACCCTAAACCCTAAACCCTAAACCCTAGACCCTAGACCCTAGACCCTAGACCCTAAACCCTAAACCCTAAACCCTAAACCCTAAACCTCATGTGGCCCCCAAGGATGAGGAGAGCTGGGTGTGCACGTCGTGCTCGGGTGGCTGCCCAAGTTCTTGTGGCGACTCCCGAGCTTGCCAAGACGAAACTTAGGGCTACTTGAGAATGGTCTTTTAAAATGTTTTGTGTACTCCCCCCAAACCCTAAACCCTAAACCCTAAACCCTAAACCCTAAACCGACCCTAAACCCTAAACCCTAATAAACCCTAATAAACCCTAATAACCCCTAATAAACCCTAAACCCTAAACCCTAAACCCTAAACCCTAATAAACCCTAATAACCCCTAATAAACCCTAAACCCTAAACCCCAAACCCCAAACCCTAAACCCTAAACCCTAAACCCTAAGTCCTAAACCCTCTATAAGGGATTCTCCTAAAGTTTATAGGTTGCTACAAGAATATCTTTCGGATTGTCTTAAGGGCCATCCTAAGACAGAAACTTAGGGCTACTTGGGAATGATTTTTAATATCTGGGTACTCTCTAATTCCTGAGAAGTTTAGGGTTTAGGGTTTAGGGTTTAGAAGTTCAGTAGAGGAGAGGCCATCCTACAATGCAAGGAGGCTGCAGATGCAGAGCTTGGGCGGAGCCCTGATCCTACCCATCCTCTCGATCCTACTGGGCGTCGTCTTCATTGTGGCGGGCGTGGTTTTGTGCATCCGCAAGCGCCAACAAGGCCCGGCACCGGGACCAGCGGAGCTGGTCTCGGGTCCGCAGCCTACGGTCATCGGCGGCGCCTAGGCTGTAACCCTAAACACTAAACCCTAAACCCTAAACCCATGTAGGCCCGGGCAGGCTGTCGATTTCGTGGTGCCACCAGGGTCTGTACACCTGCCTTGGCAGGCCCAGGAAGTGGCCCCACGCGCACTGTCGAAAAAGTTGCACGATTTCCCTCTCAACCTTAAACCCTAGACCCCAGACCCTAGACCCTAGACCCTAAACCCTAAACTCAGGGCCTAGGCCAGGTCGCTTGCCCGCCTCCTGCAGCCAGGAGGTCGGTAGCACCCACGATGGGCCCGGTACCGGAGCAGGTTCTCCCGGGGACCAGTACTGGTCCCCTTCATAAAGTAAATACCCTAAACCCCAAGCTCTTCACCCTGGATGGGGCTGGCATTTCGGGGGGGGGTACCCCAAGGCCCCCAGGCCAGGAGGACCTGGACCCCTCACCGCAGCGTGTCCAGGGACCAGGGGGCCTCAGGCCAGGCCACGCAGGGCGGGTGCTCAAAAAGCTGCTTTTTTTGGCTTTGTGGGCCATTTCTGGGCCCGCCTGGGCCCCCCTGAGCCCCCTGGGGGCCCCTGGGCCCCCCTGGGTGAGCTGCTGGTCGGCCTGGGCCTGCTGCCCCTGGGCCCCCTTGGGCCCCGCCCACTCTGGGCCCCTGGGTTTGGGGCCCCGTTTGGTTTGCATTGGGCCACCTGCCTAGCCTCACTGAGCTTTTTCCTCTGCGCCTTCCTGGGCCGGTGTGGGCCCCTCTGTCGGGCCCAGACTGACCCTGGCCTGAGCCCGTGGTCCTTCTCCCTCTGTGGAGGCTTGTTTTTTGTGAAAAGCCGTGACGGAATGAAGAAGTTTTATTTAAAGAAAGCAGTTGGCTTGAGTTTAGGCCTAAACCCTAAAAGGAATAGGTTTGGGTGGCTTTGCCGCCTTGGACGGCGTGGGGTGGGAGAAAAGTGTTAGATGGCCTTCCACAATCGGGCCAAAGCTGCTCTTCGCACCTCACGACGCTTTCGAGCTTGTTCAAAACCTAACACAGCAAAACCCTAAACCCTAAACCCTAAACCCTAAACCCTAAACCCTAAACCCTAAACCCTAAACCCTAAACCCTACTTGGGGCGGTTTTGGGTGCTCAGTGTCTCAGGATTTCGGGCTTGGGGTTGGGTTGAAGCGGCCCTAGGGCTGCTTGCAGGCTTTGCATCCTGACACAACCATGTTCGGGTTTAGGGTTTAGGGTTTAGGGTTTAGGGTTTAGGGTTTAGGGTTTAGGGATTTAGGGACACAAACATGTTCGGGTCTTCTTGAGAATGGTCCTTGTTATAAGGGGATCCTACTATTTGGGGATCAGTTTCGCAGACCCCCATGGCGTTTCAGCGTTTTGGCTCGTTGCCTGGCGTTGGTCCCCAGAAGCAGAACATGCTGAACAAACTTCTGGTGCCGGACAATCGTGTCAGAGGCGACTCCAACACGGCCTCGTACATTTGAGATCTTCCTCCTCACCCCCCCCCCCCTCCCCCCCAAAAAAAGAAGAACAACTACACCCAAACCCTAAACCCTAAACCCTAAACCCTAAACCCTAAACCCTAAACCCTAAACCCTAAACCCTAAACCCTAAACCCTAAACCCTACACCCTGAACCCGTAGTGCAGATGACTGACCCTTTTGTCTTCCAACCGTCCTCGTGGGCCGAGAACCTCCACAATCCACCCTCCATCCTAAACCCTAAACCCTAAACCCTTAACCCTAAACCCTAAACCCTTAGCCCTAAACCCTAAACCCTAAACCCTAAACCCTAAACCCTAAACCCTAAACCCTAAACCCTAAACCCTAAACCCTAAACCCTAAACCCTAAACTCCAAGCAACTGTGGGAAACACTGAAGGCAAGGCAACAGTTGGTGGCGCTTCTCCAAGCCTTCTCGCCAGACCAGCTGAGCCCCTGGGCAGTATGGGTTTAGGATTTAGGGTTTAGGGTTTAGGGTCTAGGCCCCTGCGGCCTACTCCCTAAACCCTAAACCCTAAACCCTAAACCCTAAACCCTAAACCCTAAACCCTCCTACTCTATTCTGCTCCCAGCTTTCTACAGTGATTTGAGGCCCCCGTCTCTTTGGTTGGCCGGAAGTTTCGGATGCGGGGGTTTAGGGTTTAGGGTTTAGGGTTTTAGGGTTTAGGGTTTACGGTTTAAGGTTTAGGGTTTAGGGTGTAGTGTGTAGGGTTGAGGGGAAGGGGGAGCCCCCTCGTGTCAGAAAAAAACTTGAACTAGGGCTCCAGCGCTACACACTTTATGAACCCCAACAGAACTCAGGCCTAATGAGGTATATGGACCCTTCTGAGCCCTCAGCGCCCCACTCCGAAACTCTAAACCTACCCTCAAACCTAAACCCCAAACTGTAGCCCTTAACCCAAAACCCCTAAAATCCAAAACCCCTAAAACCCTAAAACCCTGACAAGCCAAAAACATCTAAAACCCTAACATCCCCCAAATACAACCCCCTAAACCCCGTGAAACCCTAAAAACCCTAACTAAACCCCCCCCATAAAGCCTAAAAACCCTAAGAACCCTAAACCACTAGAACCCTAAACCCGAAACCCCCCAAAACCCCTAAGCCCTAGAACCCTACACCCCCTCAACCCGCAGCCCTAATCCCTAAAACCCTAAACCCCCTAAATCCTAAACCCTAAACCCTAAACCAGGGTTTAGGGTTTTAGGGTGCAGGGGGTTGGGTGTTTTTTTCGGGTTTTTGGGGGTTCTAGGGGTTTTGGGGTCTTAGGGTTTTTAGGACTTTAGGGGTGTTAGGGTCTTAGGGTCTAAGGTTTGTTTTTTTTTTTTTTTTTTTTTACGACTTTAGAGAGACCAGGGCTCCTAGGGTCTTGGGGTCTTGGGGTCTTAGGGTTTTAGGATTTTTGGGGGTGCAAGGTTGGGATGTTCCCCCTTATACTAAGAGTCCTTCATAGTCGTTCTAGTACCCCCTGTTAGAATCCCTATGAAGGACTGTCAGTAGAAGGGGGCACATTTCAAGTGTATGGGTTTTAGGGTTCAGGGGTTTTGGGGGTTTTGGGGTCGAAGGCAAAGGAACTCGGTAGTTCGGCCTGCCCTGAACTACAGCCTCTAAACCCTCAACCCTCACAACCCTCAACCCTCAACCTTCAACCCTAAACCCTAAACCCTAAACCCTAATCCCTAAACCCTAAACCCTAAATTAAAGCCTCCGGCTCAAGCCGCCGAAATTGTCTGGAGCATAGTTGAAAGGTTTAAACGCGCTCGTCAGCTCAAAGGATGCCAAAAGTTGATTTGCTTGAGCCTCTGTGAAACGTTGGGGGGTAGCACCAGGACCCAAACAGGAGCTGAAGCCAGGGCAGCCCAACCAAGGTAGGCGGGGGGGTAGGGGGGGGGGGGGGGGGGGAGGGGGGGGTGGTGGGGGGTGGGGGGGGGGTGGGGGGGGGGGGGGGGGGGGGGGGGGGTTGGGGGAGGGGGGGGTGGGGGGGGAGGGGTAGGGGGGGGGGAGGGGGGTGTAGGGGGGGTAGGGGGGTAGGGGGGGTAGGGGGGGTAGGGGGGGTAGGGGGGCGAAACCGCTGACAGTCAAAAGCTGTTCGGTCCCTTTTAACCTCCTTTTCCCATCCAACACGCCGCCAGGGTCGGCGGACCCTAACCCTAAACCCTCAACCCTAAACCCTAAACCCCCCCTCTGCCAGGCTCCTGGGTACGAAGGATGGAGCGAAGCCGTGCGCAGCTGCTGCATGATGCGCTGGTGCAGATCAGGCAGTTCCTGCCTGGTGGGGGGCCTGAACCCTAAACCAAACCCCAAACCCCAAACCCTAAACCCTAAACCCTAAACCCTAAACCCTAAACCCGAAACCCGAAACCCTAAACCCTAAACCCCAACGAAGGATCCGGAACACCTAAGCCTCAAGCCCTAAACCCTACTTGGCGTTTCACCAAGAAGAACTGTACTTCGAACCGAGTGCACAAATATGGTTTTCTACTTCAGAAAAAAAGGTACAGGGAGAATTGGTTAAACCCTAAACCCTCCGCCCTAAGCCCTAAACCCTAAACCCTCAACCCTAAACCCTCAACCCGAAACCCTCAACCCTCAACCCTCAACCCTAAACCCTGAACCCCCAACGAGCGCTGGAGGCCCCTGCGCCCGCAGGGCCCTGCTGATGCCACAGGCCTGGAAACGCTGAAGCAACGGCTCGGGGAGCAGGTCGGAGGGCTTAGGGTTTAGGGTTTTAGGGTTTAGGGTTTAGGGTTGAGGGTTGAGGGTTTAGGGTTTAGGGTTTAAGGGGGTTTAGGGTTTAGGGGGCTTTAGGGTTTAGGGGGCTTGAGGGCTTGAGGGTTTCAGGGTTTCCGGGTTTCAGGGGTTGAGGGTGTGGGGTTTTAGGGCTGAGGGTTTCAGGGTTTCAGGGGCTAAAGGGTTTTGAGGGTTTCAGGTTTCCAGGGTTTGGGGGTTCAGGGTTCATGATGATTTGAGGGTTGGTGGGTGTATTGAGGGTTTTGTTTGAGATATTTTTCGGGGTTGCTAAGTTTGCTTTGTTTGAGTCGTTCCGGGCTCGAGGATGAGGTTTGGGGCTGCCTGGGCTTGGGTGGGCTTGTTTCGTTTGCTAGGATCTAAATGCCCCTTTGCACCAAAAGAGGCACCCGTTTCATTCCAAGGCCACTCTTGCGTCTAGTTTGCTATTGTTTGGTTCAGGGCAGCATTCGGATTTTTGGGGTTGCGAGTTTGTGTTTGCAAGGCTTTGGTCTGGACTTTTTAGGAGGCTTAGGGTTGCGGGTTTTGTGTTGTGGTGGCGTATCATTCAGTGCGATTGTGGCGGACGTTGCACAAAGCCATGCATGTCGAATCCTAGCGACACAACAGGCACGAGCCAACCTAACAAGCGCGAAAAAGCACATGCCATCAGAGAACCCAAAGTTATGGCTTCAGCTGGCCCGAACCCTAAACCCTATACGCTAAACCCGAAGCCCTGTGTACTTCCGGCTCCTGCAAGCATTGCGGATCGCTCAGATTAGCGATCTTGAGCTCTTCTAGGTTT